CCCTCGGGCCGTGCTGAGTCGGCGCGGGCCCGCGCGTGCGCCTTAGCGGTGAGGCGCGCGTTCCCTCCCCCCACTTCCATCCAGCCGCGCACGCTCGTCTCGCCTCGGCCCCGGCTCCGGCCCCGCCCCCAAGCGCGGGGCATGCGCGCCCTGGAACCGCGCATGCGCACACAACTGCCGCGCGCCCCTGGACTCAAGGGTGCAGAGTGGACTAAGGGTACGCGTGGGTGGCGCTGCTGGGGAAATCCCTGGCCTTGGACCGCGAGGTTGCAGTCATGGGGGTGCCCTGGCCGCATATTCTGCCCTCAAACTGGACAGACTTCAGGAAGCATCCCCACCTCTTCCTGCCCACAAATCCGAAATGCGCCCTGCTCGGCAGGGCTGCTCTGCCTCTCAGCCTACCCCTGCCCGGGCCAATGAGGGCTGTTGGGCCATTTTGCAGATAAGCAAACTGAGATTCAGAAATTGTTTTAACGGCGCTAGTTAGTGCTGGGCTGTGCCAAGATCCGATCTTGGAAGATGTTGTAAAAGGGAGGAGGATGACTTACTCTAAATGAACCCAGACAGTCAGTAGTGTCCCCTGCCCTCGGTTTTAAGGCTGGAAAAGGCCTTCTCCAGGCGCTGGAAGGAGGCAAGGGTCAATTGGCAAGGGGCTTCTGGCCTGAGAGGTAGTTTCAGAACGGAACTGACTGGTTGAGTTAGGAGAAATCACAGAATTTGAAGTCCGAGCGATTGAAAAATCCAGATGGTGACGGGCCCTGTAAGCCGCGCTTGAGTGCCTGGAGTTTATTCTTTGGGCAGCAGGGAACCTTTGGAGTTTTAAACAGGAAGTGATAACTGATTTGTGTTCTTTAAAAAAAAAAATCACTGGCATTCTTGCGGTAGGAAATGAAAAGAGAAGCAGGGGCAACTTTCATTTTTACGTTGTCATTTTGATCCTTGCCACAAGGCCAAGAGCAGACAAGCAGCCCAGGCACATAGTTGTGAAAGGCAAATACCCAGAAGAACGATCTGTCTCAGGAGCTGTAATTTGACTCTCAACAGAATCAGGTATAATAAAAATACTTGTTTAGCAAGATTTTACATATTTAAATGTTTGTTTTTTTTTTTGTACTGGGAATCTAACTCAGGACCTTGCATTTGCTAGGCAGGCACTTGTGCCTCCGAACTATATCCCCAGCCCTGTTGATTGTTCAAAGGTTGATTTTGTTTGTTTGCTTTTTGGTCTATTTTACCGCATTTAAAATTGTAAGGGATGGTGTCAGCCTTGGGGCCTTTGAACTTGCTGTGTCCTGCAGGAGAACTTCTTGCTCCCTGACTTCCAGCATCCCCTTAGATGTCATCTGACTATGTCTCCTGACCTCTCTGTGTGTGATGGGAAGCATTCACTGCCTGGCCATCTTCTTACACATCCTTTTACTCTGCTGTTGTTATGTAAAACTCCTGTTGTTCACCCCATTCCGACACTATGTCCTTTTTTACTGTGAGTCTGTCCCTCTACTAGAACGTTAGATTCATTACAGCAAGGACTTTATTTTATTCACTAGTGGGTCCCTGGCACATAAGAAGTATTTGTTGTATGAATGAATAAAGCTTTGGGTGATGTGAAGTGAGAGATCATTATTATTATTATTAAAAGTATAAGAAGAGTATGGAGGGCTGGGGATATAGCTCAGCGGCACAAGCGCCTCCCTGGCAAGCACAAGGTCCTGAGTTCTATTCCCGATAAAAAAAAAAAAAAAAAAATAAATAGGAGTATGGAAGAGGGGGAGGGGAGTGAAGACACAAAAGGGATTGCATCAGGAGATTTTTGGGGGAAGGAGTTGCAGTGTGATAGACTAAAAGGGCCACCAATTGGCCTCTCAACAAGCGTGAAATCTAGTTATTCACCCCTTGACTGTGGGCAAATCTTACTTTGACCAATAGAACGCATCACAATCTACAAAATCAGAGCCCAGGCAGCTTTTATTTTTCACTCTCTTACTTGAGCCCAAACTAGCCTCCTGAGTAAGCCATGTGAAAGAGAACTGAGGTACTCTGGCCAGCGAACTCTCAGCTGCCAGGCCTGTGGGTAAGACTATACTAGGCCACTCAGCCCCAGCCAGGTGCTCAACCATCTGTAGCCACATGAGGCGTGGAGAGACCAGTGAAAAACAGCCCAGCTGGCCAACCTCAGGACTTTGAGCAAATAAAATACACGTGGTTTTATGTCCCTGGGCTTGGGGCATTTTGTAACACAATAGATAGCTAATACTTTTGAAGTTGATGTACTTGCAGGGCAGCTTCAATGATTTGTCTTTTTTTCTTTTTTTTTTTTTTTAATTGTTTTTTGAGACAGGGTCTCACTATCCAGTTCAGGCTGCCTAGGAGCCCATGCTTAGGAGTCAGATGACTCTTGGTGCAGACTCAGACTTAAGTTCAACCATTCACCTGCTTTCCAGCCCTGAGCAAATGATAGAGCCCTGATTCCTCACCTGTTAAATGGGGCTTATACCAGGTCTACATAAAATCAGGTGGTTGTGGACAAGAAATGACTCACATAACACAGTAGAGGGCTTGACATATAAATGTTACTGATTAGCTACAGCATTATTATGTGGAATACTAATAACTTGGGTGAGGACGGAAGGGACATTCAAAGGATCAGCAGAGCATAGTAGTCTTAGCACAGCTGCCCCTGCATGCAGTATCTCTAAACCTCATAGCAACCCGTGCATGGTGACCCTATGGCTATCACCCCCATTTTATGGATGTAAAAAACTGTGGCTTGGGCAAAAAGAATGAGTCAGGTAGTGAGCTGAAATTCAAGGCTGTGTCTTCTCCTTCTCCTCCTTCTCCTCCCTAGCATGGTCTACTGCCATCAAACCCTGAAAGAACAAACAAAAGAGAAAGTACCATTTGGTTTCCCCCTTTTCTGACTGCACCAGATGGGCCAGCCCTGCTTAGGAAGCTTTCAGGAAGCACTTCCTGTGCATTGGCAGAGCAGCTGCACTTAGCTCCAGGAGCGGTTCCTCTTGAAAAGTTCCCTGCCACCCTGATCTAGGGAGGGCACCCTTCTCAGAGGGGCTATTCCATGGTGGGGAAGCAGAAACACACATTCCGTTTTAATTCCAAAACAGCACACAGTAATGACAGCACGGAAGCTGATGTCACCAAGGAGACACAGGCCCGGTTACCACCCACATCACAGCACTGAGCAGCCTGCAAACCCATCTGGAGAAGCTAGAATAAATGAAAGTGAGACTGGGAGATGTGCTATGGAACTTTTTTGCACATAGCAGGTTATGCTGACCCATAAGTGTTAAGAATCAGAGAGGAGAGAGCAGGGAGCAACAGAATAGAGAAAGATGTTCAGTGGAACTGGGTTCTAATGCCTACTCCCCCATGTGACAAACCAGGGGCCCTAAGCAGACTGCGTTGTCTCTGAGTTTCTGGCTCACTTTCCTCATCTGGAAAATGCAGAGTGTGGGAAGGAAAGGCTGCAAGAGCCAGAGGGCAGAGGATGTCCCAGGGAAGGTGACCAACGTGGAAGCAAGGCCCAAGGCAGGACAGTGTGAGAGGCCCAAGGACAGACTCCTTTCTTCAACCACCATGTTCAGCTGCCTGGAGGGATGAATATACACTCATGATCACTGTTCAGGAACATTCTGGGCTAGATTGTTTAGCCAGGTTTTACTACAACTATACAATTTCACTTTCTGAGGAAATGTAAAGATATAGCATTATGGGGCTATTAGTTCTTGTTGGGGGAGCTCTCCTACAGGGATATAGGAATGATTCGCCCAGGTAGGGGAACATCCTCACCGAATCAGGGCTGCCCCAGGCCCTCCCATTCACACATAGCTCCCCACTCACCGGAGTGTTCCAGGTCTCTTTGATACAGGGAACATTAATTGGCACCTTCCAGGTCTCACCTCAACCCAATTTTGCGAAACCCTCCCTGAGTAGTAGTGAGCAGATCCTATGTGGACACCCAGAAGCCTATAGCAGGACCTCACAAGGAATGTGTGTCCCAGGATTCTGCTCCCTATCCTGAACCCCAAGCTACTCTGCACCTCCCCAGCCCATCCCCAGAAACATACACAGTGAGCCATAGGGACCTGTTGGGTCTACAGGGCTCAGTAAGTCCAAGCCAGGGATAATCTTCAGCACTCCCCTAACCTGAGGTACCCCTGTGGTCTGAGACCTGTAGCCAGGGCTCAAATCACAATTCATGCAGAACTACTGCATCTTCTAGAGAATCCTGCCCCAAGCCATTCACTATCTCATTTAATTTTCACAAACCACCCAGAATAAGTATTACTAAGCACAGTTTATAGATAAGTAAACTGAGACCAGAAGGTGATGGCTTCCTAACAAATAAGTGGTAGGGTCAGGATCCACAGTCAATTTGTGTGGCTCAAGAACTGTACTCTCAGTGAAGGGGCTCCTTTGCCTCCAGGCCTACCAGGCATCCTTGTACCAGGCATGAGGACAACTCAGTCAAGAGTATGAAGAGGTCTACACACATTCCCCTGTGATGATGATCAGTTTGCCTGCACCTGGTAAAGGCCATGCAGCTGCAGGGCACCACTGGACCTGTTGTACTTACAGCATGGCTATAAGTCATGGTTTTGGTCATTTTTACTATTTTGATCAAATTTAAATCCTCCTCAGAAAGCTAGTGATGGTGGCACACCCCTGTAATCCTAGCACTCTTGGGAGGCTGAAGCAGGAGGATCCCAGTTCAAGGCCAGCTTTGGCTATGTAATGAAACCCTGTCTTAAAACAACAAAGGAAAAAGCAGAAAAGAAGGAAGGAAGGAAGACAGGGAGGAGGGAAGGAGGAAAGGAAGAGAGAGAGGGAAACAAGGAAAGGAGAGGGGGAAGGATGGAAGGGAGAGGGAGGGAAGGAAGGAGGGAAGGAGAGAGAATTAAAAATCCTTAGAGGAATGTCCTTTTGGCAAGTTTTGGGAGAGGTCACGTTCAACAAATCTTCATACTTTCATTGTAGTTTTTAACCATCTGCCACTTCGCACTTTTTTCGGCTTTTTTTCTCTTCTCTGAGCTTGTACTTCTGTTTCAGTCAAGATCTTGTACTAATTTGCAGGAGCCAAAAACAATGCTTCTCAACCCCATGTGGCAAACTAACACTCCTTTTGTAAAAGGCAATACAAAATGGATTAATCAAAATAAATGAAAATGTTGAAATGCAAAGACATACATGCAAACTAAAAGCCTTTTCCCCCACTGCACTACTGGGGATAGAACCCAGGTCCCCTCTTTTACCTGCTCGGAGAGCACGCTGCCACGGAGCCACACCCCAAGGCCCTCTAATTTTTTTTCTTTTCAAAACAACTCTTGTCACACTGCTTTGAAGGCTTCTGAAACTCCTGACGTTTATACCGATTCCACTAGGAATGGAAAATTGGGCAGGCTAGCTGCAGTTCCACATCCGAGACTGTAAGAGCCACACCTAAACAATTACAAAATAAGATGTGATTCTGCTCAAGCTATACACATCTGAATACATTTCCATCCGAAAAGAATCCACTAAAGGCAATGTAATCAACTTTTAAAAATTAATACTTTCATATATGATCACAAAACAATTTGCTTTTCTGGTTTTATTTCTATTCCAAATCTCCTATTGAATGAAAAGCTAAGTATAAACTATATTTAATGAACACCAAAATCTTATAATAAACTAAATAGGCTGAAACCTTAAAATTTCGTGTTTTGGAATTATAATTAAATTTTGTTCAAACTTTTATAAAAATGAAATTATGTGTATTCTAGTATTCAGTATTTTTCCAGTTGGCAATATAAATAATGAGTGTCACGCTTCAATGATGTTACTTTTACTTATATACAATATACACAATTTCTGCACATCTATATATACATATATACATATATACACAAATTTAGAGTAAAGGGGAATTTTTTTTTTTTTTTTTGAGACAGGGTCTTACTATGTAGTTCAGGCTGCCCTTGAGCTTACTTTGTATCCCAGGCTGGCCTCGAACTCGCAATGATCCTCCTGCCTCAGCCTCCCAAGTGCTGGGATTTCAGGAGTGTGCCACTATGCCCGGCTAAAGGGGATTATTGAATAGTGCAAGATACCCTGCAACTGCCATGTGCAACTGGTGTGAATACCATGCTGAATGAGCTAGTGGTGATGCACAACCTGAATATACTAAGAATTATTGAGTTATACATTTTTACCAAAAAGAGGGGAGGCCTGACTTCTGCATGGACTTAAAGCTCAGACTGGCTGACAACTCACTGTCTTTTCCAGCCCTCCTAGTCTGACAGTTCTCCCCTGTTGCCCCATCAGCATCTGCCACTTAGGCAGAAAACCCTGCCTGTTTTTTCAGCAGTTTTGGCTGAAGTCTCATTGGCTTTGATGGGCCACACTTAGGGCCTGTGCTTGCCCTAGAACTGAGGTAGACTTAGCCTTGCCCAAACCACAGTGATATAAAGTGGAAGAGGTTTGTTGCCAGTAGAAATAGAAGGAATACTTGACAGCAAAAAAAGCAGAGATTAAAAAAAAAACAACAAAAAAACAGAGATTCCCCCCACCCCCTGCTTTTGGTAATGTGTCCCTACTTTTCCTTCAGTAAATGTCACCCGTATTTTACAGGATCCTGATGAGATTGTTAAGCACAGGCCTAACTTGGGTCTAGTGGTTGTGATGGTCTCCCTCCTAAGCAGTTGACTGTCCCAGAAATATGACTAGAGAGTCTCTCAGGGGAAAGGCAGTCAGAGCTGGGGCATTTCCATGGGAGAGGGGGCCCAGGCTTTAGTCCCTGGTACAGTATTTTCACAGCTGGCCTGGCCAGGTCCTCTTTCAGTTACATGGGCTGTGCTGCTATATCCCCCTTTTATAGTTTCTCTCAGATTTCCCAGAGCTAGCATCTGGAGCCAACAACTGCTCTGACTGATGGAGACACTCACATGCAGGTTGCTGCAGGAATCCCTGGCCCTACATCTAAAGTTATGGGCACACAGTAAACCATCAATTAGTAATAGGTGTTGTTATTCGTGTTTCTCCCTCAGCTGCCTCAGGGAGATTACTTTTTCTATTTTATGGGGTTAGAATCCGAGGCCTCTCTTTACATTTTAGAATACAGTAATTTGACATAAATAAAAATTGAGGCAATAGGGTCGAGCACCTGCATGGGTAGCCCTGGGTTTCCCCTATTATTAACATCTTACATTAGGTTGATGTATTTGTTTCAGTTAAAGTCGGTGTGTATCTTTATTGCATTTATTTTTACCCATTGTCCTTTCTTTCTTTTTTTGGCCTAGGATTCCATCTAGGATGCCACATTACATTTAGTCATCATGTCTCCTAAGGCTCATCTTGGCTTTGACCTTTTCTCTGGCTTTTCTTTCTCTTTTTTTGTATTGGATTTAAACTAAGGGCCTTGCACTTGCCAGGCAGGTACTGTACCATTGAGCTACATCCCCAGCCCTTTTCTTGTTTTTTGATGAATGGAGTTTTGAGGACTGGTTGAGTATTTTCATGTTTTGTTTTGTTTTGTTTCCTTGAGACAGTGTCTTGCTATGTAGCCCAATATGGCCTTGAATTGTGAGCAATCCTCCTGCCTCAGCCTCCTGAGTGCTGGAATTACAGGCATGTACCACCACATCCAGCCGGTTGGGTGTTTCAAAAGATGATTCATTACTGGAATTTGTCTGATACCCTTTCCCATGATAAGATGGGATTACAGATCACTAGGAAGAAGACTCAGAGACAAGCTATCACTGTTGTCACATCATAAGGAGGCAACATACTACTGTTAGTCATGCTTTGCAACCGTTGATGTTGACCTTGATCACCTGGCTGAGCTAGCACCTGTCAGATTTCTGTCCTTTCCAAACTGTATGCTCTGGGAGGAAGTCTCTGTGTAGCCACACCTGAAGAACACAGAGTTACATTCCCCACCTGAAGGGAAGAGTAGCTACATAAATAACTTAGAGCTCTTCTGCACAGGAGACTTCTCTCATCTCTCCCAATTATTAATCTTTTTCAACCATTTATATCTGTATAGACTCATGGATTTTTTTGAGTAATAATCTATTATTTATTTATTGTGGGGACAATGCTAACATCCAAAACACCTTCAAGTCTGACATCATCACTTCAAAACTATGTATCTGGCGTACATGAAGGGCAGCATTGCCTTGTGATAGGAAATTAGCCTAGGGGATGCCTGGGACCTTCCTCTCAGGAAGGTTAAAATAGCCAGGTAGGCAGCAGGCCTGTGGGAAGAGATTGATGGATCTAGTTATAGACCCTGAAATCGCTTCCCACCTCCCATGTCTGTAACGTATGTTCTTTCACTCAAGCTGCGTGTGCTGGGCTCTAGGATATACCATACACTTCAGCACACTAAACACCAGGCTGTCACCCATCTGGTGGGGAGCAGACAAGTAAATGGGTAATTATGACACAGCCATCCAAGATATGTTGCCATGGAGGTGTTTATCTCAAACCCCAAAAACAGACAAGGTCAGAGGAAAACATGCCCAGCAAAGGGCCCAGTGTGGGCAAGACACAGGGTGTGAGATGTCATGTTCCTTGGGGAAGCATGCAGGCTTAGCTTGGTCACTAACAAGGCAGACAAGACACGGTATGCCTGAGGGTGGGACTTGAGACCATGGAGGAGGGAACTGCTGGGAATGTGGGTTGGGCTCCTAGCAACAGACACCCACCTGGATGTCTTAAACCAAAAAGTATTTTACTATAAAAGCATTTTTTGTTGTTTTGTTTTGCAGCGCTGGAGCCTTTGTACTGAGCTGCATCCTCAGCTCTTTTTAAAACTTTTATTCTGAAATAGGGTCTCACTAAGTCACTAAATTGCCCAGGCTGGGCTCAAACTTTTTTTTTTTTTTTTTT